ATATATCAGGATTTTCTCTTAATGCAGACAAGGATTGGTCCCAGAGTACAAGACCTACGGTTTGGGGGTGTCTCCTGGTAGATTTGATGACCATGACAGGATTCCAACCTCTATCTCTGACCCTTCTCCCAGGCCTACCGCCTACAACTCCAGGGCACACAACAGGGAAGCACTGGGTCTGAGGAGAGAGGAAGGCAGGTTGGGAGCTGGCAGCAGAGGGAAGCAGATGCAGGCATCTCTCCAGTAGGGGTTCAGGCAACCTTCTGCCCATAAACCATAAAGCCAAGGAAAAAGATGATGAGACCACACTGCATGAGCGCAAGCTGAGACCACACTGCTTTGCTGGGCTCCGGATGGGGCATCATCTGTCACTGATGAGCCGCCACAGGTCCAGACTTGTCTCTACCACGCCTGCGCAGCTAGGAGAGGGGTGAAGGCAGCAGGAGAAGTTCCACACATCAGCCTGTCCCTCGCTCTACTTACGTTCGCTTCTCATCCCGCATGGAGCTCAGGATGAACGCCGGCTTCCGGGCTCGGGAGATGGGCATGAGGTCCTGAAGCTCTGTGGGAACAGGGCAGGACACTCTGGAGCCAGCAGAGGGGTCTCTAGAGCAAACAGAACTGTGCCCCATTCTGCTGTACATCTCATGGCTAAGTTTCACCTGTGGCTGAACTCACACTCCACTGCCCCCACCGTCTGCCTCCTGCCCTAGGAGGGGCTCTCTGCCCCAGGATAAAGCTGTGCTCGATGCCACGGGCCTGCTAGGCAAGGGCAAGCTGGAAAGAGGAGGGAGCCTGCTGCTTTGGGGAGACTCTCCACCGGTCCAGCTAGCTCCCAGAAACTCCTGGAACCCCTCCTATCACCCTGAAGCTTGACCTCCCAGCTGTGTCCCAGGCTGATGTCCGAGCTGATGCTACCGACAGTCACCCATGCCTTGATGGCAGACCTTCAGTTTAGTCTTCCTCTGCGCACTAGCCCCAACACCAACCCTCTAGGTCACCCTGCGTGACGAGGTTGACAGCCACGGTGCAGTGAAGCTAGAGGCAGCAAGGTAGAGGTGGTTGCCAGCAGTGCCTCCCTTAGCAGGCACATGCCACAGAGCAGGCAAGGGACACATGCAGGAGACTGGCCAGCAAGACAGCAGATGGTGTCAGGGACAGGGTGTAGGGGCAGTGCCTACAAGCTAGGTGTGCAGCTTGAGAAGGGGAGTGGGGTGTAGAGCTCTAGCTACACTGGGGCAGGGCGGGCTCAGCGGTTTCTCTAGGCTTAGGCATTACCCATTCACCGCCGCACCCAGGCCCATCCAGCCTGGTTTGAGTGACTGCCTGCCTGTAAACGGAGAGAGAAAGATGGGGTGCTAGGGGTTTCAGGTTTTCTGCCCTCCAGAGCTCCAGGCCTGGCTAGGCTGGCAGGAGGGACTGGGCTTGGGGCTTCTACCTCCACGGTTTGAGAGCTTTGGCTGGGTAAGACTCAGTTCTGTTTAGGGATTCTCACTCCCAAACATTCTAGGTCCCTGTGTGGGCCAGAACACAGAAGGCCCTGAACAGGGTCCCCATCTACTCTGGGACGTCTCCAAGGGCATCAGTGGCTTCTTGGCCACTCCAAAAGCCTGAAGTAACTGAAGGAGCCAGCAGGGGGCACATCACGTCTCAAGCCAGACAGATTCAAACAATGTGAGCGCTGAAGCCAGGAGACCTAGCAGCACTCCTTACTACCCACCCTTCCCTCCCAGGGAACCAGAGGCAGTGATAGTGCCCACCTGAGAGGTGCCATGAGAAATGGCTACCCTAAGCCAATGTTCAGGGCATTTTCTCAGGAATGCTGGACCTGGTAGACCTCAGGGATGTGTGAGTCATTTGGTGGCCTACACTGGCTGATAAAGCTTGGCTCTCCTCCCTTCAACTACTTCCGCCCTGAAGCCATTATCCTTTTGGGAGCTGCTGGGATTCGAGGGCCCAGACAGAGCTGAGGAGCGGGGAGGGAAAGCAGTGGCCTACCTAGGCTGTTTAAGCTGATCTCTGGGGGCTGAGTTTTGTCCAGAGAGAAGAAGGGGTGAGGTGTTGTTGCAGAGCTCTGGTCCATGGGGACCCCCGGGATGAGTGGGAAACCGTGGTCGGCCCCCACAGTTCTCAGCAGACTCAAGAGCGCCTTCCTGGTAATCACTTGTCAGGGTTTGGGAAGGAGAGACGGCAGAGAGCAGACATGGTGTCAACTAGAAAGTGAGACCCCTTCTTTGCAAATAGTTTGTATCTAGCAGGTGACCTGGCTGTGTGGAGGAACTACCCTGACTAGCAAGCTGGCTGGTCTGCGGCATCAAAGCAGCCTTCTGGCACCAGGGAAGGGACTAAGGAGGACTGTGGGGTACGAGGGGATCAGAGTCATCCTAGTTACTGTGGGCATCCCCCCTCTCCAGCTATGATGCAAAGCAACTAATTCCATGGTCAGCAGTTCTCAGAGGGATGAGCCAGAGGAGACCAGGAAAGGATGCCACAGCTAGCACCTTTGCCTGCTTCCACCTTGGGCTCCTGCAGGGCAGCCTGCAGGGTTGGTTCTGAACCCAAGATTGAGCAAAACTGGAGAGGGGAGGAAGGGAAAGGAGGGAGGGGCCATCTAGGCTGTTTAAGCCGATGGTGGGGTTGAGCTCTCTGCTGGGAGAAGAGGTCAAACCATCTGGGCCACACCCACGCTGACCCCACACTCCTGCAAGCCCTCAGGAGGGTCTGTGAAGGGAAGCTGACTCCTACAACTCTGAAGCTGATCATGGTGGACAGGACAGCAATGCACATGCGAGTCTATGCATGCACCCAGCATATACAAAGTTTGGGCATATGTGGACATGCACTGCACATGCAATGACCCCATGCTTGCTTGCTCCGGCGCTGCACACCTAAGCCCATCCCACTGAGAGCCTGAACACCCTCACCGTGAGGTAAGGTCCATGCTCAGCAAGCCCTTGGTGGGCCTGCATTCCCTGTCTTTGGGGAAGGAGGCTCCCTTTGATCTGCATACACTCCTGGCCACTTGGCAGGGAACAGGGCCAGTCTGACACCTTACAGCTGGGACGTCCCTCCTCAGTCTCTATACCGCCACCTCCCCAGCTCTGATCCCAGGTGGCAGAGCACATACGTTTGCTGATCTTGGAGGCCATGAATGCAGGAGTCTCCCCAAAGTCATTTGGGGTGTCCACTTCTGCCCCAAATACAATGAGGGCTTTGACCATCTCCATGTTATCTTTCTGTTGGGGTGGAAGGTGAGAAGAATAAAGAGTCCATCAACTTGTTCACAAGTCCTCTCAGTGGCATGAAGAGACTCTGGGGGCTCCTGACATGACAAAGAATGCCTTCAGTGCACCCCTCAGTGAGGGCTTAAGAGGAAGAAAATGGAAGTTGTTTGGCTGGAAGTGTCACCTCAGCCCCTCACATCCTTATCCAAACAGTCTGGAATGTTTGAGTGGGGGGCTTCACCCCACCTCCTGGCACCCATTTTGAAATGTTGGGTGGAGAACTCCATTTCAAGCCTCGTCCCCTGGGAGTTGCCACAGTCCAGACCCCACCTCCAAGAAGGCCCACCAAACGGTGACCCCTCCCCAGAGAGGGTCAAGACCACTCCCACAGGCTATTTAAACTGTCCCCCAGAGACAGATGCGAGGTCTTCCTGGTTTTCCTTCCCCAGAGTACACTTGGGAGCCCAGGCATCCATTAAACCTGGGCTTCTAATTCGGTTGATTTGGTCTGATTTGGATTGCTGTGCCAGCAGTAAGAGAAGTGTTTGAAGAACACTGGAACAGCCGGGATCCTGGGTGGATGTGGATTACTAACTGGGCCTAAGGACAAGGACCCTGATGCCTCAGGCCCATGGGAAGCTCAAAGCCTTCCCAAGTTCAGTCTTCCTCTAGTTTGCGGAAGTTGACAGTGTGTGCAAAAACTAGCAACCACAGCTTCCTCCTCCCATATGAAGGCAACCTGAGCCCTTGCCCCCTCAGTGAGCCCACGGAGTCCAGCTAGCCCCTCCCCTTTGTGCTGCACACAATCAATGAGCAGCAGCGTCTGAGTCCTGTCACCCTGCAGCTGACCCAGCGGAGCCAGCGTAGTCCATCCCGCCCCAGCTTTTCTCTGTGCCATCTGTTCTTTCTTCTTTCCCGCATCACCCAGTCAAGGTTCAAGGACCAGCTGTGCAGGACCTGGCACAGAAAGATTCACCCCAGTTCTTCCTCACAGGAAGCAAGGTACCTGGGCTGACAACCCAGGACCCATGGTGTGGTTTGAACAAGAATGGCCTCCATAGCCAGGCGGTGGTAGCACACACCTTTAATCCCAGCACTTGGGAAGCAGAGACAGGCGAATCTCTGTGAGTTTGAGGCCAGTCTGGTCTATAGAATAAGTACCAGGACTGTGGCCGACTGCTTCCCTCAGTCCCATCTGAGACTAGACGGACAGCAGACAGGGCTGTTCCTGCCATGGGCTAAGCACGCTCACACTGCTGTCTCATCCCACTAGAGAAGCTTTAAGGCTGAAGTCTGTTTCCTAACAAATCAGTGGCTGCCACCAGGTACTCTGGGCCTTAGGAGGAAGCACGTCTGATGATGCAGCAGCCGAGGAAAGGAGGGGGTGAGCCAACACGGTGCCTCTATTGGTCCTCCCACACCCCCACCTCAGCTGGCAGAGCCAGCACAGGGAGGCCATGTGGCCACAGGCTCACCGATATGGCCAGGTGCAGTGGCGTGTTCCCATACTCTCCACGGGCACCTGCGTTGGCCCCGTAGGTCAGCAGCACCATGACACAGTCAAAGCGGTTGCGCATCACCGCCACATGCAGGGCTGTGTTTCCTGCGGTGCTTGCGCTGTCCACGTCACAGCCGCGCTTCAGCAGCATTCGGGCCATCTGGGGACACAGACCAGGTGGGCACTACTCAGGGGGCAGCCTCCTGAGCAGTCCTCCAGTGTAAGCAAAGGAAAGAAGCTCAGAGGCAGACTCTAGACCTGAGACCCCCACACACCGGGAGCTAGGAACTAGGTGACAAATAGGTGGTTCTAGAAGCTTCTTCTGGTCCTTTCCTGAAGCTACAAAGGGGTCTCTGGACCGGGTCCCACAGGGCAGACTCCCTAAGTCCTCCATGGGAGGTGTCCCAGGGGCCTTTGCATGGTATCCTGGCTCACTCTGAACTATGGGGAGGACAATGCTGAGCCTAAAGCCCCATTCACCCTTCCTGCAGCCTGAGCCTGGATCTGTCACTGCAGCTCCACCTGACATGGGACACAATTTCATGCCTCACAGATCTGGCACTGAAAAAAACACATCTGAACAAGCGGGTGTCCCACAAAGGTAGCAGCCCTGCCCTCTTGCCCGTCACATGCAAGTACAGCCTGGGGTGTTGGTGGCCGGCACGTGTTGCCAGGTTAGGCTACCTGGGCATCCTTTCAGGAGGGCAGAGTAACTGGGGCGCTTCGGGAGAGACCTCAGCTTGGGTGACCACAGGCTCTCTGTGTGAGCTGCTGTGCCCAGTGGCCATATCACCACTGCCCCCTTCTACATGTGAGGCGCCATTTTGCACACACTGCCTTGCTAACTTTCCAAGACCTCCGATGTCTTGGAAATCGAAATCGAAAAGGAATTAAGGCCACCAGCCGATGAGCAGCAGGACAGCAGTGGGACCTCAACTCTTGGCACCTCTGTCTTGTCACTAGGGGCCACTATAATCCTCTCAGTTGTCTCCTCGGGACCTGCCCAGCCCCTCATCCGCCGGCTCTGCCTACCTCGGCGTTCTTGGCCCAGTGGAGCGGGCTGGCTCCATAGCGAGGATCCTTGCTGTGGATCTGGTTGCTGTCCATGCTGATGATCATTTCAGCACACCTGGAAGAGAGAGGGGCAGTGAGGGCGCACTGCGCCAGCCATGACATGGGGCTGCAAAACAGCCAACCAACCGGCCTGACGATGACCTCCTAGATAGCATACCAAGGCAAATATAAACAAACACAACTATATTAAACTGAAAAACTGAAACACTGCAAAGGAAATAACCAACAAAATGAAAAGACAACCTATGTGCCAGGGTAAAAACTGAAAACTAAGGCCAAGTGTGGTTGGGATTACAAATGTAATTAATGTAACCCCAACATTCAGGATGCTGGGGCAGGAGGACTCCAAATTCCAGGCAAGGCTGGACTACACTGCAAAAAAGCGTGTGGGGGTGGGGCACAAAATGGTGCAGCGGCTAAAAGAGCTTACTGCTGTGCCTGAGGACCAGTTCATCCCCGGGCTGCACATGAACAGAGAGATAAATGCAAGACAAGCATAACAATAACTTTAAGAAGCAAGTCACAGCTGGGCGGTGGTGGCGCACGCCTTTAATCCTAACACTCAGGAGGTAGAGGCAGGTGGATCTCTGTGAGTTCGAGGCCAGCCTGGTCTACAAAAGCTAGTTCCAGGACAGGCTCCAAAGCTACATAGAGAAACCCTGTCTTGAAAAACTAAAAAGAAGAGGGAGGAGGAGGAGGAGAAGGAAGAAGAAGAAGAAGAAGAAGAAGAAGAAGAAGAAGAAGAAGAAGAAGAAGAAGAAGAAGAAGAAAGGAGGAAGCAGCAGCAACAACAGCAGCAGCAAGTCACAGGGCTGGACAGCTGGCTCAGAGCTGTGGCCTGGAATGTTACAGGCAGGTTACAGCAAGGTTGGCAAATCCCTGCCATGGTTTATCTGCTAATGGTGACATTCTTATTTTGGGGTTGGTTGGAAGCTAGTGATCTGCTAGTTCACCTGATGGATGGAGATGGGCATGAATAGCTGTTGGGGACTAAGGGATGTCCAAAATAGCATCAGGTGTGGTGACACATGACTAGAATCTCAGCACTTGGAAGGCAGAGGCAGGAGAATCAGGAATTCAAGGTCAGCCTGTTTTGGTTTTGGGTTGTTATGTTTTGTTTTATTTTGTTTTTAAGATTGACCAAGAGATCTTGGCTTTGGATCTCAGAATTCTATGCACAATCAAAACATTCTAATCCATTACACAGTCTTGTAGAATCTCCGACATGGGAATGGCTTTCCCTGCCTGGGAACTTCACTTTATAGACCCAAATAGACATTTCCCCAAAGAAGACATAAAAATGGTCTATGGCAACAGGTCTCTGGCAAGATGTTGAACCTCAATGACCACCAGGAAATGCAAATGAGAAACATTGAGATCCCATCTCTTGTCTGTGAGGGCAGCTATTATCAAAACGTAATCAGACCCAGTGCTGGTGAGGGCATAAGGAAGAGAGAGCACTCACACACCAAGCAGAGGAGAGGGAGCACTCTCACACTAAGCAGAGGAGAGGGAGCACTCTCACACTAAGCAGAGGAGAGGGAGCACTCTCACACTAAGCAGAAGATCTCCATCATGGAAACTCACAGAGATTAAACAATTCACTAATGGATGATGAGTAGGTCAATTAAAACAATCAGGGAAAAAAATCCTGGAACTACATGAAAACAAAAAAAACACAACACAAAACCACTGGGACACATTAAAAAGGCAGTCTAGGAGGGAAACTTATAATTCTGAGTGCCTACACTGAAAAATCAAAAAGAGCACTAATAAATGACTCAATGCTACAACTCAAGAATTTGAAAACACAAGAAGAAGCTAACTCCAAACCCAGGGGACAGCCAGAAACAATAAAAATTAGAGCAGAACCCAATGAAACAGAAACAAAGAGAACAAGACAAAGAGTCCCCACACTGCCTTCTAGGCACAAAGGTCGTCACTGGACTGTGACTCGGGATGCACCGAGGGCACCGAGGAGGCCCACACAGGCACAGGCAAGCATGTGTCATCTGGTGTCCATCAGGTCACACCTGTCCCTAGCCCACCTGTCTGCTTCCCACCTCTGCACTCCAGGACACTGGAGTTCAGTGCTGTGAGGAGAAGGCTCGAGTCTGGCCTGCTCCAGACAGGGCTCCTCTAATCCATTTCTCAAGGCCAGTGCTTAGCACAGGAGCCAGGGGGAAAACCAACTGACCCCAGATGTTGGTCTGGCTGGGCAGCATAGGGGAGTAAAGGCTCACGGTCAGAAACCCGGATGCATTAGCACAAAACTGTAAATGGTCTATTCTTTGCACAGCGGTTTCTCGACTTGGGTGTACAGCTACCACATTGTTGTGAAATATTATTTTAAGTGTGTGATTTTTGTTTATGCTGCAGTTGTTTAACTCTGTGATTCTTTGCCTGTCTAAAACACTTGATGGGCTAATAAAAAGCTGAACAGCCAATAGTGAGGCAGGAGAAAGGCCAGGCAGGGCTGGCAGGCAGAGAGAATAAAGAGGAGAAAACAGGAGAAAAAGAAAGAAGAGGGAAACGAAGGAGCAAGCTAGAACAAGGAGAGGAGGACCCAGGGGCCAGTCACAGAGTAAGAGTAAAATTAAGAAACACAGAAGAAACCAGAAAAGCCCAGAGGCAAAGGTAGTTGGGTTAATTTAAGAAAAGTGGACAAGAAACAAGCCAAGCTAAGGCTGGGCATAAATAAGTAAGAATAAGCCTCTGTGTGTGATTTATTTGGGAGCGAGGTGGCGGGCACCCCAAAAGAGTCCAAAGAGGAAAGGGTGGCGGGTGAAGAACAAAACCACCACCAACACCTAAGAGCACCAAGCGCTTTCTTGAGGCCAGCGCCCTTGGCTGAGGAGCCTTGAACCAGGGCCCCCGCCCTGGCCCTGCAGGGGTGGGGTCATGTGAGGGCGAGCCTTACCCCTTCTGGGAGAACTTCATGGCTGTGTGGATGGGGAAGCCGCCGGGTCCCATGATGTTGCAGCGGGCATTGCAGAGCAGCAGCACACGCACCATCTCCTGCTTGCCCATCTGGCAGGCCAGGTGCAGCGGGGTCAGCCCCTGCTTGTTCGCCTGGTTGAGGCCGGCCGAGGCGTTCTTCCCTAGGAGCTGACAGGACAACACAGGTAAGCTGCCTGCCATGCCTCCCTCTAGCACCCCAGGGACCATCGCCCTCCGGACACGGAAAGGACATTCAACTCCACGAGAATAAAGGGGAGCAACGGCATGAACAGCACTCGGGCAGATAAGAAAGCCTGACAATGAGGTTGGGGTGTGGGGCGGGAACCCGGCCTGACTGTGGCTCACGTGGACATTTCTGAAGAATGTTAACCCAGGTGTGGTAGCATGTGCCTGTAATCCTGGTACTGGGGAGACTGAGGCAGAAGACGAAGTTAAAAGCTACTCTAGACTACACAGTGAGTTCCAGGCCAGTCTGAGCTGCATGAGACTGGATAAAAAGAACAACCAAAAGAACCTTAAGTTTTCTAGGTGGAGCAATTCTTGCTGCCCACCAGATGTCCTTCTGTCCTGCTTAGTCTTGTCAATGTGACCCAGCCTAGAGTCCTGGGAGAGGAGACGCCTCGGCTGAGGAATGGTCCGGGTCACGTTACTGTGTGGGCGTATCTCTGAGGGACTGTCTTACTGATGCAGGAGAGCCCAGCCCACTGGGGTCTCCATCTTCAGGCAGGTGGTCTCACACCCAGCTAAGCCAAGCACGAGGAGCAAGTGAGGAGCCAGGGAGCAGCGGTGCTTCGTGGTTTCTGCTTCAGTCCTTGCTTGAGTCCCTGCCCCGACTTTCCTCCGTGACAGACTGTGATCTAGATGTGTAAGCCAAGTAAATTCTTTTCTCCCCTAAATTGGTTTTGGTCAGAGTACAGCAACAGAAAGGGAAGTGGGACTCCTTCAGTCCTGCAGGATATGTCTCTGCATGCAGGTATTGTGCTTTCAGTAAAAGAATTCAACATGACCTAGTGGTAGAATGCTCACCTGGCATGCATAAGGTTCTGAGTCCAATCCCTGGTACTGCCTCTTCCTGTCTACCCAAATCCTAAGGTACTTGAGTCTTTTGTATGGAATGGTTATTTTGCAAAGAGCCCACACATACCCTCCCATGTACTTTGTTATATGGGAGCCACTCTGTTGCCCAGGCTGGACTGGAACTGCACTGGCATCCTAGCTAGCTGGGATTAATTCTGCACGCCCCATAGGACTTGTGATCATCTCTAGATGACGTCTATAATCTAATACAATGTGAATACTAGATGACACTTCTTTGGTTTGGTTTTGTTCTGCTTTGCTTTTGCTTTCTCAAGACAGGGTTTCTCTATGTAACATCCCTGGCTGTCCTGAAACTCACTCTGCAGACCAGACTGGCCTCAAACCCACAGAGATCCGCCTAACTCTGCCTTCCGAGTGCTAGGATTAAAGGCGTGTGCCACCACTGTCCGGCTAGATGAACAGTTGTTTGTGCTGTGTCTTTAGGAAATAATGAAGAGGAAAAATTGCCCAAACACTGATGTAATTTTCCTTCAGAGATGAAGCCCACCAAAGACACCCAGAGTGTCTGTGCTAATGGGAAGTGGGAAGGATTTTGTCCTCTCACGAGGAGCTCAGTGCCCTCTCCCTGATGACAGTTATGACCACTGGGGACAGCTGTGACATGAGGAAGGCTGGGGACCCAGAAGTGGGGCAAGGAGCTGGCAACCTGGGGGAAGCTTAGGCCAGCCTGCCCTATCCTCAGGTTGGTGGCCCTCAGGGACCACATTTTTTGCTTCTACCAAACCTCAGTTTCCTGTATGAAGAAAAGACAACTCCAACCCAGGAGAGCATTTTGAGAATTGACTAGAACACATGATGCAGGCACAGCCAGCATCCGTCAGGGGTAGGTGCAATGCATGACCACTGGCCAAGCACACTGCTGTTCCTCCTCCAGCAATGGGCATGCCTTCTCTTGGACTGCACGAGACACAGATGTGTGTTTCTAGAACAATCCAGATGCCAAGCAGAGAGGACAGAACCTGCAGATGGACCTGCTCCTTCTAGACAATAAAACACGAGCTGAGTGTCTGCCTTTCCTTTCCACTTAACGGTGGCTTCTCAACAGCACCGCTCCATCTCCTGGTTAGACTATGGCTCAGCACGCAAGCACACTGGCTGCTCCTCTAGAGGGCAGAAGCTTGAATCCCAGCACCCACAGGGCAGCTCACAAGTGTCTGTGACTTCAGCCCCAGGAGATCTGTCACCCTCTTCTGGCCTCTAAGGCACTGGAAACATGGTGTGCACAGGCATACATGCAGGCGAAGCACCCATACACATAAAAATAATACATTAAAAAAAAACTTAAAACAGCTTCTGTTCTAGAACTTACAGAATCAACAGGAGTGTCTCTGGCACTAGCACCTTTAGGTGCTGGACAGTTCCCATAAACTAGGTTAAGTCTCAGTGTGCCTTGAGCAAGGGCTGACCTGATGCACCCAGCCCAGGGTCTGAGCTCCTGAGCTTCATGCCTGATTGGAGTTTCCATGAAGTTCAGCTCGCTGAGCTGGAGAAACTCCACGGCTAAAGGTATGTCTCCCTCTAAGCGTCATGGGGTGAAGGGTGAGAATGGGGGGAAGGATGAAGCCTCAGGGATTAAGGATGGCTGAGTGAGAAGCCTCAGAGTGACCCATGAATCTAAGGCCCCCAAGCAAGTTTCGGGTCCAAGGAGGTGCCTGGTTGTTTGGTCCCCTGCCCACCACCCAACACTCACCTGAAGCACCTGGGAATTGTCCCCCTGTACAGCATAATGGAAGGCGGTCTCTCCTTTGTTGTCGGTGACATCCATCTGGGCGTGGCAGTACTGTACCAACTCCACCAGGATCTCACTGTCACCCTTGCGGCAGGCCAGGTGTAGTGGGGTGCAGCCCTCCTCATTCTCTGTGCTATTGGCGCAGCTGTTGGGGGTGGGGTGGGCAGTGATAAGATGGGGACCAAAAGCAGGGATGCTAAGAAGCCCAAGTGCAGAAGCAGGATCCAGGCAAGATTTGGGGGTTCTGGGGCGACTCAAGCCCCAGCTCAGCCAGAGCCACTGTGTTGTGTCTGCTGAGCTGTGCCAGGCTGCAGTGCATTCTGCTCACCTGTGGGGAGATGTGCCCTTGGGCTATGCCAGCACGAGGGGGCAAGAGGATGACACAGAAAAGGGTCACATAACAGACACTTGTTGAGCCATTGTACTCCAGGAATTGTTGTGAGATGGGACACCAGGGTGCCCAAGGTCATGCATAAAAGCTGGAGAGCTCAGAGAGAGGTTTTGGTTTTGTTTTAGAAATAAGGTCTCACTATGTAGACCGGGCCAGCCTCGAACTCACAGAGATCTGTCTGCCTCTGCCCTCCAAGTGCTAAAGCTAAAGGCACACATTACCATGCCCAACTTGGTGAGGTTTCAGCTAGAACCCAGGCATTGAACAGAGAAGTATGGGGTGGCCAGGCAGTGACTTGCAAGGACATCCAAGGAGACTTCTTTAGGGAATCTGCAGATACAGCATTGACTAGATGGATATAAAAGAGGCCATCCAAGCTTCCAGGAGAACAGCGGGGCTTGGGAAGGAGACTATGGTCCGAGCCCCTATGCAGCCTTCTCCTATTGAATAGCCTGGTTCCAGAGCCTCTCTCTGAGGTGACTGAGTAGTTGAAAGAACTCAGTGTTTAGCCGGGCGATGTTGGCGCACGCCTTTAATCCCAGCACTCGGGAGGCAGAGGCAGGCGGATCTCTGTGAGTTCGAGACCAGCCTGGTCTACAGAGCTAGTTCCAGGACAGGCTCCAAAGCCACAGAGAAACCCTGTCTCGAAAAACCAAA